GAGTCGGGGGACCAAAATTCCAAGTCCCTGAACCATGTGCTGAAGAGGATGAAGTTCTCATATCAGCGGCTTTAATTATTGTGATTTTCAGGAAAAAGAACAGTAAAATCTTCAAGGCTGAATATTGTGGTAGCTTTCTACTTGCCTAGCCTGTTGGCTTGATTTTGCAAATGAAAGGATGGAAAGAGTGGCCCGGTAAAAGTCGAATAAAGTTATTACTTTTAAACGAAAGTTTCAAACAGGCGTGCCACAACGTCTCCTACCTTTAGCTTAATACAGGCTACGCCTGATTTACCTTTTGTAAGGGATGCCTTCAGAAATGGCGAAAATGGCGGAGGCTTGGCGCCATTTCGGACAGCGGAAGGGTGGCGGTCCCGAATGTCGTGATATTTGATAGTGCAGAAGTTCCGTGTACTTTCCGCAACTTCTGTGGCATATTTTGCAAGCAGGCGCTTTGTCTCAGGTTGTATCCAAGGCTATACTTTGTGGGTGCGGTGGACTTGTGGTCATTGGTCGGGGAAGTATATGGACCCGTCGACTGCCACGAAAACGAGCCCCAGTTTCGGTTTAACCTGGTACTACAAGGTGGCTCCAGCCGAAGCATGCCACGTTTCTGATGGCAGGAAGCATCGCCATCCTTACCCAATTCTCCGGTTCATCTTCTCTGTACACCACCAATTTTAGGCCTGCCTTCAGTTAAAATACTGTCCACTGTAGGAAGAAAAATTCTAGTGGCAGACAGATGCATGCTTTTTACAACAGGATAACAGATTATGGCCTCCCAAGGATCGGAAATATGAATCAAGGTAGCCTATTACTTTTGGAAACCTGGAGGGCGATATGATCTAATATGCCAAAATCCTGTAAGTATTTTAAACCCAGACCCGTAGTAAGTGATAGAAAGGGAGTAAGTTCGCGGCCCAGTGGCACTAATCATCTCGCTGGAGTATGGTTGGAGAGCAGTATTCTACTTCGTCAGCCCAGAACCTGATTCTCTGTTTTACAACAGCGATGAAGTCCTCAGATCCTGTTAAAAGTACAGTGTACGCTCGGGTCTGATGAGCGGTAGACTACATTAATATCGTCAGCCAAGAAAGAAGTCTTTATCATGCTACAGGCACAGATAAAGGTATGGGTACTTGTCTTAAAAGCCCGTGAAATATTACTTGGGAATGAAAATATCCAGTCAGTTAGTTCGCCCAAAAGTCCAGATGATTGGATCTTCGACACAAGCCACTTGTGACTTACTGCGTCGAGGTCATCAACTATGTCGAAGCTTACCATTTTGATTGTCATATCGACATTATCAAGCTATAAAGTGTGGTCGGAAGCTATAGATAACGGGTAATACATGGGTGTGAATTTTTCGTGCTCCGCATGCGCTACAGTATTTGTTCCAGATACGCCTCAACACTAATACAGGTAACACAAGTAGACATTGCCTTTATTTGACCAGAATGTTGTAGGTTTTATCCTTGCCGACAGTTTCCAACCAAACACATGATGACGATGTGCGAACCAGAAAACAACTGCCACTGGGTTTAAAGAGATGTAGTGAGTTGTGTGATTCGATATCAATAAGAATCATATCACTTTCCAGGCTATTTGGATGCTTAAACGGAACAATGGTCTCTCGAATAACATCTGACGAGGTGATGTACAAAGATTTTAGTATTGAGGAGGGCAAGGGTGGTAGGGGTGTGGCGTTATCGTGGCTTCATGAATGCGCAAGGTAGGTGTCTAAGGGCTCGAAAAGTTCAGTGATACTGCCGGCAATGCTCCTAGCTTCCTGGGTGGGAGGCACATAAAGCTTGCAGAAGTTCGGCCTTTTGTGACAAGGCTTACAGACTGGCCTATGTTCAGCGTCATGGAAAACAGCACTAGTTTCTTATCTGAGCATCACCTCATCTCAGTTTCCTCGCAGTGCTGAGTGGACGATGTGAATATTTAAACGAGTCGGGAAGTTTCAGTCACCGGGGTATTGTTGGCGCAGTCTGCATAGTCTAGGCATTTTGCAGCCAGAAATAAGGTCCTCATGCAGTATTTATGCTTTATCATACGTTTAAGAACGAATTGATCAAAACCTGGGCAGAAATTATTGCATAATACCATTGGGACAGTGCCCGAGTCGCCTACATGGTAGGCGGCTTTGTGGTGTGATTTGCCATAAAAGATACATCTTTCACCACGACTAATAAACCTGTTCCCTCTGAAAAGTGGATACCCTTACTGGTAAGAGAAGTCTCCATACAACTCAAACGTGCATTAACCTTCAGTCATTGGTACGGGGATAGGCCAATAAAGATTTGACGTGCGTCACTTGCTACGGCCCAAACGTTGATAAGAAGTGTGTTTGGATCAGTTGTATCATCCCCAGAATGTTAAATATATATTGGAACAGTCGGTGGTGAGATGCGGTCAGTATGTTCACAGGTGGTGACGAGATGTTGCCAGTATCGAAATCGAAGTTAGAGAGAATTTGACGATAGTCAGGTGTTGGAAAATTGGATAAATGAAAGTGTCTGACGTCACCATGGATTTGGAGGGTAAGGATAGAGGAATGTGACACGACAGGTTGCTGTGTTACCAATCGATCATCAAATGCTGCCGTGGAGCCACAAGTGATGTCTAAGTGATATGTAGTTTGGTCATCGTTGTAGGGATCGGGAGGCTCGCAGAGTGTTGAGCAGCTGCGTCACTTGAGAAGCCATGCTGAGAACTCAGACGGAGATGATAATGTCACTGAATTCAGAATGAATAAGATCGGTGTCGTACGTGGATAAATCTGATCCACTGAAATTCATTCCGAGCCACTTAACCAACAGTCTCTAATTGCTTCTTTCCGGTGTCACGCGGGCCCCAACTGTGAGGTCTGCATGTACCTTTCTGACTCAGACTGATTGCAAACATTTCATACACTGAGGTCATGCTTTAGTCACGTTTTAGCCTGTTATTGCCATTCATTCACCTACATGAAGGGAAGCCACGGAAGACCTAATCTTCGCAGTAACCCCAAACTTCCTAACCTGCCCAGCTTAAATGCTGAGAATACCAACCCCCTAAAGCACCCTTGTTTGATACAGAAGCAAACGTGAATGGTAAAAACCAAGACCCAAGAACTATAGGCGCGAGTTTTCTTCAATGTACCCCATCCCAAGCTAGGAAAATGCTGTATTCAGCCCAGTTTCCAAAGCCGGTAGTCGTCAGTTGGTGGCGAATTATCTCCTCTTGAGTGTAACTAGCATAATTATTAAGGTTTTCAGGAGAAATAATTAGTGATAAGGTACTTAAATACGTTGATTCAACCGGTCTCTTGGCACCACAGCAACACGGTTTTCGTGCTGAACACTCCCGTTTAACGAACCCCCTTCTCAAAAGAGAGGAGTGGATTGCAGCCCGTGATTGCAAACCCCAATAGATGTCTTGTTTATAGACTTCAGTAGGAAATTCAACAAAGCGTCACATGTGAAATTAATAGGTAAGCTCTCCTCTTCGGGATTTAGTGCTCCATTACAAGCGTGGATCAGCGACCTTCTCTGTGATAGAAGGCAAAGCGTGAGGGCAACTGGGACACTGTCTGGATGGAAACCTGTGCTGAGTGAATTTCCTCAAGCAACACATTCCTAGATCCACTACGTACCTTGTTATATGTCAGCGAAATTGCCAAAAATGCTCAACTCTTCGGTGCCTGTGGCGTAATGGTTTGGAGAGCCATACGCAGCGATGCTGATGGGTATGCACTTCAAGCGGATTCGGATGAACTGGTAGGTTGGTCCAAACGTTGGTGCCTGAAAATCAACTTTAATAAAGGTACAGTAATGCATATTGGTCATGGCAATTGTTGCCAGTATTACGTTGGTGGTACACCACTTCCCCCAGTCTTTGAACTGAAAGACTTACGTGACACAACAATCAAAGGAAACAACCAAGCACAGACCACCTCGCCAAGGTAAGCTACGAAATCACTCACGGAGAGATGCTAACAGCTCACTTCATACTGAAGTTAGTGCTGGTGTAGTCCTTCATCGTGTGGCTAACGACCGTTGTCACAGCCTTATCCCCTGACACTTTTAAAAGGAGGATAGACACATACCTTGAGTCCTGCCGTAACGATGGGACGTAAACGAGAAGCTCTGAGTCGTCTGCAAATCAGGTGGAGTAATACTAATTTAGGAATTGTCCTGGTGCGAACCTGGCAGACGCAGGGGCCGACCGCTAATTATTCATACTTGTTATATACGCACGAATACGAAACAAAGAAAGAACACAGTAGCGTAGTCGGATGGAGTAGTACATTTGAAAGGTCGTGCCAAGATACTGATGCGTTCCAAGTAACTGGCTGGGGGGTCGATTACAAGCAGTGCTACGTAACACGACAGCATGCCAAATAGCGAGGATGCCTGACCGGGTACCCACAGCTTAGCGGGTCCCGCCAAACTATGAAGGTCAGCATCAATGTTGAATCTCATCGACTCCTAGGCTATTGATTCTGGAGAACTGTCTGAGGCTATTCTACCTTCAGATCAGATTAATTAATAGCCGATTATCTCTATCCTTCAGGTTTTTCAGAACCAGGAAGATAGCGGTCACTGTTCCAAATCCAGAATGTACTCCAGTGTGAGAGATGCAGAACCCAATGGACTGTCGTTCAATAATTTTACACCACGAAGTTGGAACTCCTTACATCAGCAAGTAGTATCAACACCTTCTGTAAACGCGTTCAAGGAGAAAACAGACCGCCACGGAGATATCTTTCTCAATGGATTAACACGGGCCAACTAGCCTACTAGCCACATAACTGAAAACTGAAAATAGTCTTCGTAACACATTATTGATGTACAGTGATTTTGAATTCAAAAGAGGAATGAACAAACGTAAAAGTCTGTTACAGACGGATTAGCATCGGATAAAAGTTCTACATCTTCACTGCAAGAATGTTAAACGCCAACTTGAATTCATAAAGGAATATAAAGTCACTTTCAGTTTAACAGCTCAAGGCCAACTAGATCGGAAGCGAGGTTAATTTGTTTGCGTTGAACTCTAGCATTTGTATTTATGCTACTTAGGGAATATTTTGCATTCGAACTGCTTAATCGACTCCTTGTTGGTTTTTGTTTTATCCATACACATGTCTCGTGTCATTTCTTTGACATCCCAGTGGTTGACAACTTTGAATATTCGGAAAATTCTTCGGAGGTGTTCGATGAGTCTACTGGTTTTTCGTACGAACCACTCAGTCCTCTTGTTAAGTGCTCCTATCTTCCTCGTCACTCAATTTGGTGTGAGCCTCCTTTAGGTAGGTTCTGTCCTTAATATTACATCTGTTAGATTTAAGGGGCAATAAATCCGAGTATGATGAGCTAAAATACGGATGTCTGAAATGGGGTGGAAAAACAGCAAACTCAGTCATGCTTACTTCACTTGTATGTCACGTTCTGGATAATATCGAATGTTATGGGAATCGCACTTTCCTGCTATCTGATTATCCTTGTCTTCATTTCAAAGGCCACTATTTTGTGACAACATTCATGTACAGTTTGCTCTTAGGATTTCTTGGAGTCGATCGTTTATGCCTTGGTCATATAGGAACAGGCATTGGAAAACTACTAACCTTGGGTGGAGGTGGTATATGGTGGATAGTCGATATTGTTCTTCTGATTCGTGGAGATTTAGGTCCTGCAGACGGGAGCTCTTGGATGCCTTTTTATTAAATCTTTGTAAAAGTACTAATTAAAATTTATCATCCCTAACTGGCTTTTTTTCTACTCAAGGTTCTAGTTGGCGTGACGGATTATTACGGGACGCTTTTCAATGTCTGCAAATGATTTCCGCATACTTGACGAGGATACCCAGTTTATGGACAAGTACCCTAATGGTCTAACGTTGACTGATCTGCTACCATTTTACGATACTATCGCTAGGAACGAACCTCTCAAACTAGAATGGGTTTGTCCAGGGAAAATTGACCCAAATGCACAGAGGGAAAGTAAGTTCAATAAACTCAAAATAGTTCAAATTGTAGCAGTGCAACGAATATTTAATGCAACTTGAATCGACATGGTTTCATGTACTAGGCTATAAGTCACAGTTAACCTAAAGTGGCTGGAAATAACCTTTGGTTGCATAGATTGAAGAAGGCGGAACAGTTGTACTAAGTGTTAGGGTGAATCTTAAGGGCATTCATCTGCCCTCACTTTGTTGTCGTCTTAAATGAGTATATTTCGTGTAACGCTTAGATCAAGAACCTTGCGCCTAACCTATATTGCTTTCACTGTAAACTCAAGCAAAGGTTGGAGTTTTATCCGACCAAGATATCTAATCCGTTAACGCTATCCATTCTACATATCAATATCAGCATGCCATTATTTCAAAGGTAACTCCATGCCTAGAGTTCCTCGTGTTACAACCTTGTTCTTAAATACTATTTAAGCACATTCGGATATTAAAATTGACGCTTTTAATGAAAACATCGTATGGAATATTGTAGTCAGGACTGTTGAAATGCTTTGTGAACAACAGAAGCTGGTGATTCAGTATTGGGTTTCCTGACGTCACTTTATCATTAGGAACTAACTTGTAGAGTATGCGGACCGATTATCGTCTGAGTGAAACTGTGGCTCATTGGTTTTGGTAGTCTACGTTCAACTAGTGGGTCACAAGTTCGAACACCGTCCCACCTACCTAGGTTTGGTCAGGCAGGTATATGGGAATCAAATACGATCCCCTCCGACTGGTCTAAGTCACTGATCATCCCAGTCTTCAAGAAAGGCGAGAAGTCCTCTTGTGATAACCACAGAGGAATCAGCCTGACAAACATAGTGTCTAAGATCCTAAGTTCTATAATTCTCCGACGCCTGAGTGGAGCTCGGGAACAGCAAGCCCGAGAAAACCAGGCAGGCTTTAGACCTGGCCGTGGATGTATCGACCAAATATTCACACTGCGCCAGGTCCTGGAACATAGGCATGCTTACAGACGCCCGACAATAGCTGTATTTCTCGACCTGAAGGCGGCATTTGACTCCGTTGATCGAGAAGTCTTATGGCAGTGTCTGTCACTGAAAGGCGTGCCTAGTAAGTACATCACCTTATTGAAAGCTCTCTACTCGAACACTTGTGGGCATGTTAGAGCCTATGGTGAGTTGTCCAGGGAGCTATACTCATCAAGTGGTGTCCGTCAAGGATGCCCACTATCCCCATTCTTATTTAATTTTATCATAGATATTCTTATGGAGGTTTCCCTCTCGTCACCTAATTACAAAGACGTTGACCGGACCACAGGTGAATTTTCCTTAGATCTAGAATATGCAGATGACATAGTCCTGTTAGGTGAAGACGCTGACAAGATGCAGAGTCTTCTGAACACTTTGAGTGGGAATTTGAGAATGTTTGGGATGCGATTTTCACCACCCAAATGCAAATTTTTGCTCCAGGACTGGTCTTCAGCGGTACCGCGGTTAACAATAGAGAGTGAAGTGGTTGAGTGTGTTGACCACTTCACTTACCTGGGAAGTAGGATCAACTCCGGTGGGTTAGTTGCCGATGAGATTTCTGCACGGATACAAAAGGCTCGATTGGCTTTTGCCAATTTGCGCCACCTATGGCGCCGCCGTGATATTCGTTTGTCTATTAAGGGTCGCGTGTACTGCACAGCAGTCCGCTCTGTTCTACTGTATGGCTGTGAAACATGGCCATTGAAAGTGGAAGACATGAGAAGGTTACAGGTATTTGACCACCGTTGCCTTCGTAGTATAGGACGTATTCCGTGGTGTCACCATGTGAGTAATGCAGAAGTTAGGTGTAGAGTTTTAGGGAGAAGAGGTAAGTCAGTCGACGAGGTTGTGAACCTTCATCGACTGAGATGGTTGGGACACGTACTACGTATGCCTAGTCACCGATTGCCTCGTCACACAATGTTGGCTGAGGTGGGTTCAGGCTGGAAAAAGGCCCGAGGTGGCCAGACTAAAACATGGCACCAATGTATGAAGTCTCTGACTGTTGGTTTAAGCCATGTAGGACGATGCAGACTAGGTGGTTGGGGTCCACGGGACAAGAGGAACCAGTGGTTGGAGACCCTAGGTGATATGGCTCAGAACCGAAGTCAGTGGCGCAGATGTATACACACATTATCCTCATCTTAACAACGCTATACCGAATCTCACTATTTTGTCACTCCTCTTTCCTTTCTTCTCGTACTTTATATTTCTTTTGACTGCATTCACTTATCTTCATCCTTCACCTCACTACCTTTTTACTTGATGTGCTGATATGAGGTGTGGCAACTCGGACCGTTACGCAGTAATGCCTGGTCCTATGTTGATAATGATGATGATGATGATGAGGCAGGTAATATCATGGCTTATCGCCTACTGCAGGAATGTGCAAAAGGTTGCTGAGTGCATTTTGACTTAAAGGCATTTGGTTGTGGACGTCCAATGCACCATAGATAATCAATCTACTCACTTACTATTAGACAGACAAGATTTACGTAGAACCAGGCATTACTGATTAAGGGTCCAGATTGCCACACTTAATATCATCAGATCAGTCAAGTAAACACTAAGATAAAAGATAAATAAGTAGAGGAAGCAATCAAATTGGGAGAAAGTCGTGATAAGGTAACAAGGAGGAATAAGGGAATATCTGATTTGGTCTAATGACTAAGATAAGGATAACATGTGAGTGCATCTACTCCAGGAAAACCGATTCTGAGGCATGTCACCTATAGCCTCCAACTGTTGGTTTCTGTTGTCATGTGAAATTTCGACCGGGAAGTCTACATTTCCCTTCCCGGCTCAGACAAATAATCAAGATTTTATATGCACTGATACCATGTTTTGGTCTAGCTACCCGTTGACATTTTCCAAATTAAACCTTCATATTAACGATGGATAGTGGCTATCAGCGGAATCTAGGATAATACAAGTAACAACATTGAACCTACTTCAGCTGACGTTGTAACGGTATAGAGGGTGAGTAGGCGTGCGCAACACGTCTGTCACCTTAGCCGATGAAGATTCACAACCTCACGAATTAAATTTCCTCTCCTCCCTAAAATTCTACACACAGCTTCTACATTACTGACGCCATTACACCGCAACACACGTTAACAGTGATCGAATACCTTAAGCCTTCTCATATCCTCTACTTTTAATGGTCTTGTTTCACAGCCGTATAGTAGAGGAAAGCAAGCTGCAGCGCAGTACACTTGACCATTAATAAACAGTTGGATATCATGGTAGCGCTGTAAGTAGCGTAAGTTGGTAGACATGATGCGAGCCTTGTGTCCGTACGGAGATTTTGTCGGTCAGTGACCCATCGTGGTTGATCCGACTTCCCAGGTAAGTTTATTCCTTATTGTAAGACGGAACCAATGAAGACCAGTTCTGGAGTAGCAGTTTACATTTGGGTGGCAAGAAACGCATCCTAAACATTCTGAAATTGCCACCCAGGTAGTACAGAAGACTGCATCTTGTCAACATCTTCGCCTAACAAGCCTGTCATCTGCGAATTATGAATCTACCAGGGATTCTGCTGTGCTAAGACCAATCCCTATGAAGTCTGATGAGAGGCAGACTTCCATATCTAAATCCATGACAAAACTAAATATGATTGGAGAGAGTGGAGAATCCCTGAAGTAGTCCACAAATAAACAGAATCAACGTAGAACCTCTGTTAGAGGTGGATCGGTTCAGGTTACTTTCTTTCAGAGTCGCAGGCAGAGAATACGACTGATACCAAAGTATATACAGGTGTATGGGGGGGGGAAGGAGTTCAAAGATAAAGGGTAGGGAGAATGCGCAAGCTTTAGAAGACGTTAAAGAGTAAATTCATCTGTGCTGTTTTAACCGTTTTTCAGTCATTTTACCAAGACCCCTTGACTGTTGTTTCATGTAGTCTTGCGGACTACAGCTAGGAAGTCCTTACCTTCCTACATGGCTAAGACCAACATTCGGAAACTTCATGAAGTCTTCGTCTTGTCGCCCTTAGCCTTCTTCCAGCGTAATCCAACGGAAACCACTCGACGTGCACAACTCACCTGACAGTACACCATAGGCTATAATATGCCCTCAGCACGCCTTTAAGTTAAGACCTCTCGATCGACTGACTTAAATGCTGCCTTCAAGTCGTGAAATACAACCAGTTTTGAGCGCTGGTTGGACTTAGCTGAGTGTGAATTTCTGATTGATACACCCACAACCAGATATGAAGCCTGCCTGGTTTTGTCGCGTTTGCTGTTCTCGATCTCCACTCAGATTTCTAATGATTATAAAACTAAGGACCTTTGACGCTATTTTCGTTAATCTGATTCCCCTGTGGTTATCAGAAGCAAACTTCTCACCTTTCTAGAAGACTGGGACAATCATTGACAGATCTGTCAGAGGAGATCATATCTGACTTCTATGCAGTAGCTAACAGTAGTTAATTTGACCAGTAATCCTCTACTACCGTCCTTAAATACCTTTGGTACTAATCCGACTGGCTGTTATCACCAGTTTTAAGCTCAATAGGTTGTGTTAACTATATTTTCATTCATGATTAATTCATCCTTCACATTCGCCCTTGACAATAAAAAGAAATCTGGACACTTCTGAAATATATATTGTGTAGAAACGTACAGCATTTAAATCTAGGATTCCCAACGCATACTACTGTTGATCGCTATGTAGCAATTCAGTACATGGTTGTGAATTTAGTCGCGTACCACCGGTTTGCTTCCAAAACTGAAATGTGTAGAATAACTGGTCGATGTTGTTGTACTAGTGACTTGAAGATGAAATACTTTTCTAGTAGATATTTGACCAAACTTGAAGGTTGGAGCGATCAAAACATTTCACTTATCTCGACAGCTATATTGACCCACTGTAATCTCAGCTATCCCGAAGCTAACGAACATTATGACAATGAACTGTTCAAGTAGACTATGTGTATACTATTCTTGTGATACAATAAGTTCAAATGCAAATTATGTGGCTGAGGTAATATAATCTACAAGCTAGGTAGCGGTCTCCGGACGCAAAATTTTGCAGGTAACCAGTGATACATTTAAATTGGTAGAATTGTCCTAGTTAGGGATCCACTTTGTATTATGGTGCATTGGTAGGACTTGGGATTTGTTTCTCAGTCATTCGACCATTGGCCTGATTACTGATTAAGCTACTTCATTTAAGATTACGGACTTCTTTCGTCATGTCCTTTATTATAGCTATGATTCCAGGTTTAAGAAGTCAATCTACACGTCGTCGCAGAGGCTTACCTATAAAGTTCTTGTTACTCTGTCTTAATTTACTGTTACTTGAAAGCTTGTTCGTAGTCTCTACATTTACCTGCCGTTTATTATTTTCCGTGTATCTAGGTTTTGTAATTGCCTAATATGTCTAGAACCTCGCCTGGTTAACTAGTTCACTAGTTACTAGCCGGTCCTAAGTCCGGCTAAAAAGGGAAGGTTGGGCATAGGGCTAGCAACCCTACCCCGTAAAACAAATCCAACCGCTAAAGAAACTTCAAAGCACAAACAAAATATAAAAAATAATAACAAACTTATTCCTCGCTGGAATCGGAGAGGCGAAATGACGCCAGTTGGTGAAAGCCTTCGGGAAGCCAGTTGGCCGATGTATCTTCTCTCGATGAAAGCGAAAGTAAACGTGGGGACATGGAATGTCCGCACGATGTTTGAACCCAGCAAGGCAGCCCAGATCGCAAAAGAGATGAGAAGGTATAACATCGAAGTGCTTGGAATTTGCGAAAGCAGATGGAATGGAAGTCCACTCTCCAAACTGTCAACTGGAGAGTCAATAATCTACTCCGGTCACCCAGACGACAGCCACGAGCACACTGAGTTTCGGAATGGCTATCATGATGTCCCCAACAGCATCGAAGGCTCTCATGCAGTGGGAACCAATCTCCTCCAGGATCATGACAGCAAGATTCAACTCAAAAGGAAGGAAGGTCACAATCATGCAATGCTATGCCCCTACAAATAATGCAAATGAAGAGAAAAAGGAGGAATTCTACAGACAACTTCAATCAACACTGGACAAGACCACACTGCAGTTGGCGACATCAAAATTCTAATGGGCGACATGAATGCCAAACTGGGAGGGGACAACACAGGAAGAGAACTAACCATGGGTCGAGAAGCGCTCGGTGAGGTGATGAACGAGTATGGAGAATTGTTTGCAGAATTCTGCACATTCAACGATTTGGTGATTGGAGGCAGTGCGTTCAAGCACAAAGATATCCACAAAGCGACATGGATTTCACCAGATGGACACCCAAGGGACTAATAATAATATGTCTAGCGTACAGCCATCATGTTTCTTACTTTATGAAAAAATCAACTATTATTATATCATTATTTTTCCTTTGGGTTCCTGGTGGAACATAGGGCTTCAGTAGCACGTCTCCATTTCACTCTCTTTTTGCAGTCTTTTTAAACTAGCTCCGCGACTGCCCACAAGCTTTCATTTCTTCCTCACATGATCTCCCTCATGTCACCCTCGGCTCAGACGCCCAACTCGTCGTTTCCCCTTTGGATTCCACTCCAGGACCTGGCAGGTGATATCCCTAATTGGCCTTCTCAGTGTATGCCCAATCCATCTCCACTTTCTTCTGCATATTTATTGGGCGATGGGTTCTTGGTTGGTTCGTCGCCAGCCAGAGTTCCTTGTTGCCTATCTTTATTATTCTGGTCATCTTAGTGTCAGTATCGAGTGAGCGTAGGTGGCAGCTGTTGATGATGCGTGTGTGTAGTTTGCTGGAATTGCTTTTCGTGATGCGCCAAGTTTCTGAACCATATAGAAGCACTGAATTGACATTAGTGTTAAAAATCCGGATCTTGTTCACGCTTTATGCTTAGTGGAGTGGAAAGCAGTAGACCTCCACACTGATTTCAGATTAATGAAGGCGTGTTTTGCCTTTCCGATCCTGGTTTTGACATCCTCATCTGTGCCGCCACCTGTAGTTGAAACGATGCTACCTAGGTAGGTGAAAATGACAATTTCCTTTAGGTTTCTCCCGTTGATGGTGATTGGTGCTTGTTGTTGATGTTGTTGGTTGTGTATCTTCATCACCTCCGTCTTCTCTACACTCACTTGAAGTCCCGTTTTCGCTGCCTCTTCTTTCAACTTATTGGTTTTTGCCTGTAGATCTTCGAGGTTATGCGCCATTAGATATGAATCAGCATCGGCGAAGTCCAGATCTTGTAGGGTCTTTTCATCGGTCCAGCCAACGTGTGCTCATCTTCTCGCTCCTCACAGTTTCTTCCAAGATCCAGTCCAGTCCACCACAATCAGGATGATCAGTGATAGTAGGCGGCAGCCTTGTCTTACTCCTTCCTACCTTCGCTTCAAAGGCGTCACTGAGCTTTCCGTTGTGGATCATTTGACATGTAGCGTCGTCATATAGTTGTTGAATGAGATTGTTAAATGTTTGTGGTATTCTGTAGTGTTGAAGCAGTTGCCAGAATACTTCTTGGTCGACTCTGTTGAAGGCCTTTTCAAAGTCGATGAAGTTGAGGTAGAGGGTTGACTGCCATTCTGTGCTCTGTTCTATGATGATGTGTAGCGTTAAAATTTGATTCTCACATGATTTGTACTTCCTGAATCCAGCCAGCCTGTTCCTGTGGCAATTTTGGATCGAGAGCACTTTTTAGTCTCTCCAGAATGATGCGGCACAATATTTTGCTTGCGGTGGACAGCTGCATGATTCCTTGCCAGTCCTTGCAAAGACTTAGGTCTCCCTTGTTTGGGAGTTTGACAAAGTAGCCCTTCTTCCACTCGGCAGATACCTTTCCTTCTTTCCAAACCTTCTGCAGGAGCAGTGTGAGCATGTTTGCTGTTGTATCTTCGTCTGTTTTCAGTGCTTCTGGTGGAATTCCACATGGTTTTGCTGCTTTTCCGCATTTCAACAACTTTGTGGCGTTCAGGATTTCTGCTTCTGTCGAGGACTTGTGTTCACTGGTAGTTCTGTGGCTGGGCTGCTGGTGGTATTTTTGGACGAGTTGCAGGTGATGGTGGTTGTGATGGTTGATTCAAGAGTATTGTAAGTAGTCAACCCATTGTTTCCTTTGTTTCTCCTCTTTGCTAACCAGCTTTCCTTCACTATCTTTCATTGGTTTCGTCTGCGTTGATCTCTTCCCAAGTAGTAACCTGGTTATTTGATCTAATCTTATCAGGTCTCTATCTCTCCTACCAGCAGCTTGTTCTGCTTCACTTGCCAATGTGTCGTAGAAGTGTCTTTTGTCTTTGCGTGCACTCTTCTTCACTTCCTTGTCCAGTGTAGTGTTTTATAAGTTGTACTCAGTTCTTCTTTTCGTTGTTCATCTTTGCACTGGTCCATCTTCTTCGCCATCTTCCTCTCGTCTATCAGCTTCCATGTGTCCATCGAGAACCATTCCTTGTCTTGTCTTGTTTCTTCTTCCTTCCTAACATGGTTATGTAGGTTTCTTTCCACACCTCTTTCGAAGAGTTCCAGCGTTTTACGCAGGTTTCTTCAGGGATGTTGCTCAATGTCTCCTATTTTGTTCGGACGGCCGACATGAAGATATCCTTTGTAGTTTTGTCCTTCAGTTCAGTTTCTGTTCTGGGTGTTGAACTTCAACTGTGGTCTATCACTAGCTTCTTGGAAGGCTTTCAACTTGATTATGAAGGGAGGTTCCTTGCACTAGACAGCTAGTGGTCTGAACCTACATCTGCTCACCTTCTTGATCTGATCTTGTGTCCAGTAGGCTGTCCCCACTTTCTTCACATTGCGATGAAGTTGATCTAATTTTTAGTGAATCCATCTGGTGAAATTAAATCCATGTCGATTTGTGAATATCCTTGTGTTTGTACACACTGCCTCCAATCACCAAGTCGTTGAATGGGCATAAGTCTGCAAACAGTTCTCCATTCTCATTCATTTCACCAAGTGCCTCTTGACTCATGATGAGTTCTCTTCCTGTGTTGTCTGCTCCTTTCAGTTTGGCATTCATGCCGCCCATTAGAATTTTGATATCGCCAACTGGAGTTTTGTCTAGTACTGATTACCGTTGTCTGTAGAATTCCTCTTTCTTTCTTTGATCTGCATTATTTGTAGGTGCGTGATGTAGGATTGTATGATTGTGACTTTCCTTCCTTTTGAGTTGAATCTTGCTGTCATGATCCTGGAGGAGATTGGTTCCCACTGCATGAGAGCCTTCGATGCTGTTGGGGACATCATGATAGCCATTCCGAAACTCAGTGTGCTCGTGGCTGTCGTCTGGGTGACCGGAGTAGATTATTGACTCTCCAGTTGACAGTTTGGAGAGTGGACTTCCATTCCATCTGCTTTCGCAAATTCCAAGCACTTCGATGTTATACCTTCTCATCTCTTTTGCGATCTGGGCTGCCTTGCTGGGTTCAAACATCGTGCGGACATTCCATGTCCCCACGTTTACTTTCGCTTTCATCGAGAGAAGATACATCGGCCAACTGGCTTCCCGAAGGCTTTCACCAACTGGCGTCATTTCGCCTCTCCGATTCCAGCGAGGAATAAGTTTGTTATTATTTTTTATATTTTGTTTGTGCTTTGAAGTTTCTTTAGCGGTTGGATTTGTTTTACGGGGTAGGGTTGCTAGCCCTATGCCCAACCTTCCCTTTTTAGCCGGACTTAGGACCGGCTAGTAACTAGTGAACTAGTTAACCAGGCGAGGTTACTTTATGAAAAAAATCAACTATGCCTATGTTAATATTCTGCATTTAGACACTTCTCAGGCTTAAATAGGTTTTTGTTTGTGCACCGACGTTTGTGCTTTTATAACCACGGAGTATATATACTATTTATTTGTTAATTATACCTTACAGTGTTTATTCGCGAATGAAACTTTCAACAGCTTATTTCTTTTGTGTATACTTTCAGATATACCAAAGTAACTATTATCTCATTTCACTTTACCATTGTTTTTAACGTCTTAGAAAACACTATTCGAACAGAAGCGAGTGATATTCCTAATCCAAAAGTTTCAGAATCACTGTCTAGCAGTGTGAAGTTGAAAGAGTTTGATTTCGATGAGTATGTAAATCAACTTTCGAATCCTTCTATTCCACTTGGTACTACTGCACAGAATACAAATCTGCCACTTAGGCGTCTTGTAGGTACTTCCAGACATCCACCTCGCCAACCTCGTGTAACCAGCATGGATAAGATATTAAGTGATTTTTTCAAGTCACGAAAAGAACCTTCTCCTGCAGTTTCATCAGAAGTCATGACTACATCTGTTGCTGCAGTCACTGTACAACATAGTGTCTCGTCTACGGAATTTTCTCAGACAACTCGTATTTCTACGGAGATAAGTAAAAATAATTCTGAAGAAGACAAACAAGAAGCTCTCGCTGCAACACTAGCCAAAACTTCAATGTCTCCGCAAGTTGTTCATATCAATCCGGATAATATGTCTTCAGATCTTGGATCACTAAACGACAACACTAATAATTTGCCGCCTGCTTCAACAGATCATGGAGTTTTATCCTCTTCTACATCAGTTTTAAACATATCTGATGGAACAAAAATGGAATTTACCACTATAGAGGAAGTGGATAATTATGTTAATAGCACTAATCCTTCTGATTTCTGTAATAATGACGTATCAGATAATCAATTCACCTCTACCAGCGTTCATAGTACGTTTCGCAATGAAAAACAGCCTTGAAGTGAAGTCACTTAATATTTTGTCTACTCTACTAAATCGACTATTCTCACTCCTATATTATAGTAATCTGTTGGATATGAGTGTGTATATCTGTACATAAAATTTCATTTTATCCAGTATTTACTTTTTTTTCTCGAGCAAATGATTAACAAACGTGTTGAATAGCAATAATATCTCTTGGACCAATTTGCACTAGTTGTCTTATTGAGAGTGAATATTCCGCCTCCCTATGAATGCCATTGAAAATACTGGTTTAACGGAGATACAGAATATACACGTCGGAGACTAAGATTGGTCGATATGTGTTAGGTAGGCATCAGATAACAAGTGGACTAATGCTTTACCACTAGTTTGGAAAAACACTTGCTTTGGTGGTAGAATATTAAGGAACATTTGTGAACTGATCACTGATAGGATTCTAGTTTATGTGTTGGAAACCGTTTGGCGCTTGGCAAATTACATCTGCCTGCAGTGATTTACACATAAGTAAAGGGACGTATATTCAACTAGACCGTTCTTACTATCGTGTTAGGCGCTCGTAGAAAATAACTACAGTGGATAAACATTAGTTTTGAAATCGTTGAGACGTATGGCAAAAGCTCTAAGTTACCACCTTTGTCTGAATGTGGTCAGGTAGATTAAGACTAACGTAGAGGAGACTATTGTATGGAAACCGAGACCTAGCAGTAAACCATGAAGTTACTTTTGGAGTTAGTCTTGCTGTCTATTGATGCAGATATATTCTTTTTGACTCTGCTTCAAATAATGAATACTTTTCATTTCCACTATCTCATTCATCTTTATCTAGTATTATTTTATTGCTTAAGTTTCACTAGTGAGTTGAACTGTATGAAAATTAGGCGGTAATTTACTATTCAAATAGAAAGTTCCCTTTCCGGTAATTAGCTGCTCACTGATTCTACTGAGGCTTATTAATAAAGAGTTTTTGCGTCAGAGTTTATGTTCTGAGGAATCATAGGTGTATTTCGCCCTTGATGGATATGAAAATGAAAAGTGACACATTTTTGTTTTGAGTTCATGACTAATTAGGTAAGCTTTTCATAGGTCTCGGTTTCCTTACCACTAATTGTAGCAATTATGTTTTATGCTGATGAAACACTTCACTATTATCACTACCGTTTTTATTCACGAACTTACCTATTATGAAGAGGGCATTCATTTGAAAAGTTGAACGTAATAATATGCTTGTGTCAGTCACTTTCACTTCTGTCACGTTCCATAACGTTCAGATTGAGTTGTTCCCTGAGCTAGGGTTTTAGTTGGGAAACATTTCATTATCATGCTGGACATTTTCATTAGTGCTTTGCAAAGAAATGAAGCAGGTTAACTATGCATGGACATTTATAACATGCTACTCTGTCTGAGTCTAACATAATTGACCGTTTTCTTGAGTCTGATTGGTTCACATTTTGCTTCTAGCTTTCTCAGTCGTGCAAACGCCATCGGTTAAATTGTTTTGTTTGAATGCAGTTCGTTAAAATCGCTTCGTTGTGGTTGGTCGGTCCTTGTTCATTGAACCGATGAAGGTCGCATTAATCCAGTTGGTTGATACCCTGTTTATCTGAAGTGATAAGAGTTGTCGTGATTTGAATAGTGGACTCTTCTGTGCGCTATTCAATTGATTTATTTATTTATAAAGGATATTATACATCGATTTTCTATTGGAGGAGTGTTCTTTGGTGTTGTTAACTTCTTGGTTCCTATTAGAGGTGTGTCGTTTCGTATTCATTAGTTAACTGTAGTGATCTGGTTTGACATACGTAAGTTCTCCTGACCCATTCGATTGACAATCTCTTTGGCTTCCTTGCATTTAGATCGGTTGGTTCCTACAACTTATTTGTTAGGAGTAGGCTGTTAAACTACATCTAGGTTGAGTGCCATATCGCCAAAACTCCTATGACCACTTTCTAGGTTGTCTAACGTGTGGCTGTTTCCCACAGCATACTGCCATTAGAGACCTCATGTTATGATATCGGACAGATAGATTGTCTTCATGAAAGCATTGTAATACTAGTCTGCTTGATTGTTCCCAGTTAATGTAGTTGACCTAATCTGCATATCCATAGTCTTAACTAAAAATGTTCTCCATTACCGTATAACATCTTTTACTATTAAGTTGTTGAAGATCTGACAAGTTTTACTCATAATGTAAGAAAATAAGTAAAGAGTCAATTAATGAGAAATTTGATTAGCTGTGACTGAGCATTATGGGCTCTACGTAGCTATTAATTCGTATATTCAAAGACATGACACCCTCTTTAGTGTGAGCAGACTAGCAGTATCATCAGATGTTGCTCATAGCTCACTCGGGGATTTACTGAGTTATATGTTTTTAACTTTCGCTTAGAGCTGGCGTGGAAACTGCTTCAAAGTATTACTTTTTTTATTGACACGAATTTCGTTCTTCATACATTGATTATTGCAAGTACTCTTGTGAAGTTCGGTAGGTTGTGGCTGAAGCCCACCGAAGCACATATCAGTACACTGTGGTTTTTATAGGATATTCAAGTGATACCGAAAATTTCCCACGGGATTCCAATCCATTGAGTAGAATTATGGGGAAAGAGAGAAAAGACGCTTACAGCGAAGAAAAACGTCTTGCACTCCAGATGGACTCATACTTTTAGATGTAAGTTCGTGAATATATGTCAGAAAGGATAGAACATCCTAGCGTATATATATATATATATATATATATATATATATATATATATATATATAATTCGCATCACGTGGGCCATCTCATCATTCATTAACTTCGATGGTTGATTGCTTTCTATATTTTGAAGACTATACGCTAATTGTTTGCACATTTCCAGTCGAACTTCATCAGGATCCATTTACTTTCACCTATAGATAAAAAATTATAATTTTTTTAAGCATATGCTTTTCTTGACTTTTGTGTTTAAAGGTGGGAAATAGAATCACTGCTACTTTATACCACATCATCTACAGGAACTCAGAAAAGAGGTGATAATCTCCGTACGTGGTTGAATTGTTAGTACGTGCAAGCGCGTCCTGATTGGCTCTTTCGATGGTCTGACCTTGTTTACCGCTTTTTCATTGGGTGATACATAGAGGCTGTAATAATAAGCCCTCTGTTGTTCGTTGATTTAGGTGTAAGAAATCTAAAGGTTACTTGATATTTCCTAAGTTTTCTCGTCATGCAGAATCGGCACATCGATAGACTAACCAGTAATTAGTTTTTGTGCAGTATGGCATTCCCTATGTTTTATTGGGACCTGTTTTGCAGATGATATTCATTCTGATCTCCTAATTCATTGGGTTTATAGACGTGTACAGTACAAAATGGAGAGATTCTGTACTTTTCAGAAGTAATTATGGGCTTCAGTAGCTTTTTTCAGTTCCAGAGACATTTTCACACAAGAGAGTATAAGATTATAGTTGATGATAGATTCAATAAACGCTTTGAGATCAAGTTGTACTTGGGAAACAATTTTCCTCTTAAAACATGTGCTGCAGGTATTTTACTTTGAAATAAAGTTTATGCACGACTGATTTTTGGTGAACGCTACTTGCAAGAATATATATCAGTAGTATATAAACAATGTCGAAAAACAAAAGGTAATAACGATCGCCTGTTGAAGATTTTTCAGGGGGGAAGGCAGAATATAGAGTACAAATGCAAAGGTCACGAACACAGCACACTTGGATAACAAAAAGGAGGTTGTTTGCTAGTGTGATTGCACCTTGAGTTTTAACACTAATGAGTACTGGTTGCAATTTTCCGACTGACAATCACCACTATCCTACTACACTTTTCTCCAATATTCTCCGCTGTTGCTTCCCATTTGAAGGCTTAACCAATATGGTTGGTTTTTTCTGTTTTTTACTATCTAGGTTTTACTGATCCCAACATCGAAGAGTGAAAGTTTGATTCTGTTGTGGACTCAATATAGAAAATATTTTTGACTGTGTTAAACAATTTCTAGTTTGTCTGAGTGACAAAATTAACGTAGAACCTTGCGTAAAGGTACATCAACTCAAGTTTTAACATTTCACAGTAGTGCACAAAGAACAGGGAGATAGAAAAAGAGTGATATCAAAGCAAACAAAGTTGTGTAAGAGAAAAGATAATCTGAAGATAAAGGTTAGTGTGAATACATCTTCACCATTGTGACCGATCTTCAGCCATGTCACCAAGAGTTATCAACCACTGATTCATGTCGTCTTGGAGACCCCCGCTAGATAGTCTACATCTCAGCAGACGGTTCGGAGCAACGGTTATAGGGTTCACCTACTGGTGCCAGGTCTTGATCTTGTCACCCTGAATCCTTTTCTAAGCTAATCCAACTTCCTCACCAGCCTAGCACGTCGAGGTAGAGAGTGGCTGGGCATGCGCAGCACATGACCAAGCCATCTCAGCCGAGTAAGGTTCACAACGTCATCGATCGATTTATCTGTTTGCGTAGTAAGTACCCTTCACCTGACTTCAACATTACTCACACACTCATTCCACCAAATGCGAGCAATGCTACGAAGACATCTATGATCAAAACCCTGTAACCGCTTAATGTCTTCTACTTATAACGGCCATGATCTAGTCCTAGTGTGTCTATTCTGGGAATTGTAAACGCTTAGTGTTATAACGATATATATATATAAACTGATATGCCTTGTTTGAAATGATTACTGGTAAATATATCACCTGGGAATTGTCACGTGACTTCGCACGCTTCACTAAGTGAATATTACCTTACGTAACCCACAATTGTGAGTCATGAAGTAAACTAAACGTAAGACCATATGTTTGCAACCCTTTAGCTGTGCGAAATATACTATTGAATGACATGAGTAGTTCTAGTCACTCATACCGTTCAGAAGTCATATTAAGGTGATCTACGCATCAGACGACTGTCTTGATTTAGCTCAGAAAGCTGAATCAACCAAACTACCCGAATTTCAGTTAGCTACTTGACCTGACTTGTCATACCTAGAATCAGATCAGGTGTCTGTAAAATACACAGTCCGTAGAAAGAAATCCCACCATAGTTAGTCGATTTGAATGGTGTAGAACAACTCACTTTAGTCAGTAGTACGGCTTTCATGCTAGCAATCTTGATGCCATTTGTAGTGTGTCGAGTAGATCGCATATGATCTGAATATTTTAGTTTCCACAAGAAATATAACATGAGAGTTTTAAACCATGAACTGTGTATTTTGTAAACAACTGTTTTGATTTTAACTCTTTCTATCAGTATTTCTTCCTCTTTCACAGTACAATAAAAGTCAAAGATTAACAGCATCTTATTCTGTCCACAGCCTACCGTTATTCTAAGAAATGAATGACAAATTCTTCTATACCCAGAAATTAGGAAAATATATGTAATGATTTTACAACTATGAATTGTATGGAGTTTGATGAGGAGTCGATGCAAAGCTCTTGAGCTGAGCTACACAATAATATTACAAAATAAGTCTTAACTAACATTTCCTCTATAATAAATAAGATAATACGGTCAATGATGTTTATCTTTGAGGTTCCTACTTTGCATTTCTCTGTTCCACTATAATGTTTACTTTATCTATAAGAGGTAAATTCAGTCTAAGCATTACTGTTCCTGTAGTTAGATTGCTTCATTATAATATTTTTTGTGGCTTATTTGCTTAGTTCTGTGTGCCGTTGATACCATAATAAGGTAGGAAGCTTGCCAAAACCTTCTGATCAAAAATGAGAATAAAAGATGTTTGTGCTTGGAGATGAAACTTCGACAATAAAATACGACCGTTTCTTTAAATTCCTAAACAACTGATTGTGAACGTTTTGCATAGGACGTTTTCTTAGATCACCAGTGTACTTTTACATCTTTCCGTAGGATATCAACCTCATCATATAGTTCTTTTCCATCGTATGTTGTCCACTTATAGGATGGACTGTCTAGAAGCATGGTAGTTTTAGCACTGCCTTTCTATGACCGCTTAGTTACGTATGGTCTTTCTTTTATCTCGTCAAAAGAATGACTGTTTGTTGTATTTTGTCCTGAGTGTCCCTATCTAGACCTAATGGCCTTTGTGATCAATAATGCGCTGAGTACTTCTGTTTCTGATGTGTTTATTGTAGTCTTATCATTTCTACAGAAGTCCTTTCACCCTTGATCAACGACTTAATTTTTTAGTACAATAGAAAAAAAGAAACATAATCAGAAACCTTGTGCACTTTCATGCAGTAGGCAATGAACCACACATTGTGTAAGGGTGAATCATACTATCCGGCTGCCAGAATCTCGGTAGATAGAGTGAGCCTTGAACACATGACCCAGTGATTGAAATTAAACTGCATAAGCCAATGATCCAAACTCCTTGACCTCTCAATCATAGTCACAAAACTTTCTAGTCCATAGTGTCATCGACTATGCCACTCATTTTTGGCTTTGCTCACTTCTTTTCTGTTGTATTCAACAGTTGGCTGATAGTTTATGTTCAGTACCAGTTGACATAAGGTGGTGATGTCTGCACTTATTTTGAGGAGACAACTGTTTTTCTTGATTACAGGTTTTTGGTTAAAATGAGTTTCATAGTAAGAAGGAAGGTTTTCGTAGTACTAGAATTCTGAGTCATTGGGAAAAATTTTTGTCTTACCAAGGTGATTTCTATTGTCATATTCAGCAGGAAACTTAGAAAAGAGTTAACAACTCAGTATGATGTAACACTTGTTAGAAATGTGTTTTTCGATTTGATAATATTAGTAGACTGGTAACCAACGTTTCATTTACAGACTAAAAAGTATCTTCACAACAAGCTTTGCATTATTATTATTTAGTATTTGTCCCTTGGGTTCCTAGTGGAACATAGGGCTTCAGTAGTACGTCTCCATTCCATTCTGTTCTCTGCAATCTTTTGAACCTGGCTCCACGACTGCCCACAAGCTCTCATTTCTTCCTCACACGATCTCTTCCATGCCACCTTCAACTCGCCGTTTCCCATCTGCGTTCCACTCGAGTGCCTAGCGCGTGATGTCCCTGAATGGTCTTCTCAGTGTATGCCCAATCCATCTCCACTTCCTTCTGCATACTTGTTGAGCGATAGGTTCTTGGTTGGTTCGTTGCCAGAAAAGCTTTGCATATGTGAGCATTTTCCAATTTAAAATTAAAACATTCACTACTGAACTATCTGACTCAACGTTTTATATCAAATTTCCGCTAGAAAATATCAGACTTTATTCAGATGATGTCATAAAACCCGGATAACTAATTTACGGTGTATATCTTCTACGGGAATTTCGAATCAGTTATTCAGTAAATCGACTCACATGGGTTATAACGTTGTATGCTACTGGCTATGTGTCTGTTACTTCGTAACTAGGGTGGAAAAAGTTCAACTATAGGGTCGAAACATTTGATGATCACCTGAAGGAAGTTTGTTTTGTGATAAGAAAAAAGGAAGGAAAATCTGTGTTAGAGTGAATAAAAAAGCTATTCATCAGTTCGAAAATAATTCATGCTATCATAATTCTTGTACAGTATAAAGTCTACCGAGAACTATCGACAGTAACCTTAGATTCTTTGTATCCCGTTTCAATGTTATCCAAGACAGAACACAATTATTCAAAAATATACAATGAGTAGAATATTTTCTGTACTGTTTATTCAATAGTGTTAACATTAGCATAATCCATACTTTTATCTTCATCTTTTCGAATTTCCGAACTTAAACGAAATAAAAAAAGAAGGAAGATTAAAGAAAATTCAGTTAGTAGGTGGTCATTGTACACGTGAATGTACATTGATCTTGGAACAAGTTAATAAACTAGAATTGCCAAGCGCCTAGTGCAAACCAACCAATCAGAAAATAGTAATATTTTATTTATATATATAAGTTGTCATTCATCGAAGACTGACATCGGTTGGAGGAACAAAGGAAACCTGGGAGCACTGGACAGCTGTTTCGTCCTAGTATGGGACTCCTCAGCAGTGCGCACCCACGACCCCACCAGCAGGGATCGAACCCGCGACCTTCAGTGGGTGCGCACTGCTGAGGAGTCCCATACTAGGACGAAACAGCTGTCCAGTGCTCCCAGGTTTCCTATGTTCCTCCAACTGATGTCAGTCTTCGATGAATAACAACTTGAAATAATTCCAAATCTCCACAACCCCTCAAAATTTATATATATAAGCTTTATATCGAAAAGGAATTTTACTCATACTTCAAACGTTCAAAGAGACCTATCCATGTTACACCCACACACAGACATTGATGTTGGTAGTATTAATAAAATACAAACTAATACTTGTATACGCATATATACGTAAGTGATTTTTAGAATGATTGATGATAAATCAACATTGATAGACAGAAAAACTAAAAAAAATATTTAACAAAGTAGTATGGAAAAGTTGAGCAGAGATTTAATATTTCAATAGAACATCCACAACAGTAATATGGTAGAATGGCATACAGCACATACATCGTTTAGATACAGATTATATAATAGCATGTATTCACATGTTTGCAGTTTCATTTTATTATTCAATTTAATTGATAACTGAACTATATTCAATGTGTATACGATTAAATTTGTTTAAATAACAGTGAATAATTTAGTAGTATAGGATAGTAGTTACAACCGATTAGCCATTTTATCCCTTCTCGTTATTGTCATCACTATAAGGGATTATATGCTGTAACCCCTATTCGTTAGTGAAAGAATAATAATCATTCTTAATTATTATTATTATTATTATTATTATTATTATTATTATTATTATTATTAACATCATTGTTAATGAAAGATAACAGTCATCATCTAATTACCAGGTGTTTTAAAAGTATTACCTAATTATGATAATTTGGTTGGTTGTGGCTAGTAGAAGAATCCAGGACGCGCTTTTCATCGTATTTGGGACTCGTCAGCTGGATGTACCTAGATCCAAGTGATGTTGCTCCCACTGAGACTCAAACCTCGTACCCATCACTTCAAACGCCAAGGCGTTATCCACTATGCCACAGAGGAACGATAGCCACTTCTTGTACAACGGGTAGTAGTTATTACTATTTATTGATATACTTGCTATTCTCCTTTTTTTCATTGGATGGAATTGTTCGACCTCTATCTGAAACTCTAAATTCAGTTTTTATACTTCTTGTCACCAATCATTGATGATGATATGCCATTATAAAGAAACTGGTACTCTACCAGAGATTCAAATGTACATCACTAAGGGTAAAAGTCACAGTCAGCTATTTCCATCACTGATAAACATAGTTAAGATTCCTAAATTTACTTATAATTCAAATTGTTTTCATGAAGTTAGAAGATGCACTTCATTATTTAGCGGTTACATATTTGACTATTTTTAATCATCTCACAGTTTCCAGAAAACCTGAAACGCTTAAAAAAGGATAAAATAAACGATAAGAAAGTTCTCTCCTAGATGATCTAGGCTACATAACTTAATAGTGAACTCTCTAACTTCAGTTCTGAGTAATACAGGTTCGAATCATTGAATGAAATGATCTGACATTAGTTAATATTTGATGAGTAATTCGTATATTCAACGACATAAGCATCCTCGATTCCTCTGTTAGCCACAACCAACCAAATTACCTAAATTAACATTCAGGTAATATCAAGATATCTGCATAACAGCCCATATATCAATAGAGGTTGAACAAATTGATTCAACAAAACAATAAGCATGTCAATATAAACAATAATATTACCTAACTGTTATACATTTAAACACAATTCAATTAATAACACACTTTTCTTACTTAAATAGTATACTGTTGTATATTTTAAAATGGATAGAGATTGTTTTGTGCACGTTTTCGTTGTAAATTTTTTAATTTTTTTTGACGATCATTTTGATTCATCATCATTATATCTGTAGATTTAGTTAATGATGGTAGAAATGATCGTAAACCAATTGAATAAGCTTGTGTTACTTTGCGTAAATTTAAATTATGATGTTGTTGTAATTGTGAATTAGTAGGATTATTTGATGAAGTTGGCAAATCAAATGATGGATCAAATACAGTGATATCATTATATCCTGATACACTTCTTGCTGATCGTGTTCTTTGTATTCGATTCAACTTATTGTTTATTCTGTTTTGTAGATTAAAAAGAAGAATATAAAATATAAAAAAACAATCGAAGATTTTCTTGTGAATCTATGCATTTATAAGAGTTAATAACAGGTATGGGCTTACTTGAGAAGCTTTAGGTGAATAGATATAACAAAAGTTTCCAACAAATGAATGACGAGTTTGAATCTAACTCCATCAAGGAAACTTTAGATAACCAGCTGGTAATCATTCGACATCAAATAGTTCACCAAGTATATGAATCAGTGGGAAAACATACAACCTTCAATATGAACGTACCATTTCAGTATAATGATTGATAAGCAAATTACTTAAAAATTCCCACAATTGAGTTGTTTTTTTTATCAACTGTGGTATCACAACAGGGTTTCTGTTTGAAACTATTCACTTGAGATCCAAAATTATGATCACTGACACAAATGTATCATGAACTGATCAAATATACTACTGAGCAAATTGAATAGTTAAATACACACTACACGCTGATCTACAGTCGTTGATGAATGACATTTTAACAGCACAGACCAGATAGACTAAACAGCTCATTTTCAACAGTTAAATTCTTTGTGGGTTGAAATCATGTCATAAAATGGTCATCTTTAGCTTCCTTACTAATTAATCATAGTCTAGTCAGTACTTTGAATTGAAGAAAACTGTAGCTCAATATGTGTCAATCCAGCTTTACAACCTCTTATACTAGTTCAACTTTCAGAAAAACTCTGAAGCTAGCTAAAATAATGCTTATTACTTGGTCCATTTACATACGGGCAATGCTATGAAAATATCTACGTTAAAACCTGTCACCTCAATATAGCTGATTACATGAACTTGTAAGTAGTAAATGAGTTGCGGTTAATCATCTAGTTCATCAGCTATTTCTAGTTCATTCACCACTTTGCCCCACTATATTTATGATAACAAAGAAGAGTATGAGAAAGTTGTGAGTTTCTGACTTACGATAACTTTGGGACTTCGTGTGTACAAATGGAAACAATAGCATAAGACACAGAAAGAAGTTTGAAAATAATTAGAAGAATTCACTTGATGGATTTCAAATTTGTATCAGACATTGGTTATCTGAGATACTCATTCTGAATTTTTTTATCGTCTCTTACCTTGACATGTGTTAAACCTATCAAACTCTGAAGAAAACTCAACGAAGTTGAAATTTAGTCCTGTAAATAACAAGTAAGATGGTAAACAGACTAAGGCTTACTACTTTCTACACGAGTAAATGTTGTGTGAAGTTAATTATTAAGCATTATCCTATCCCTTTGACCAATTTTTTATAACGGTGTAGTGGACGTTGTTGATAACAATGGGTATCAGTAGTATATGTTGAGAAGGTGGCAGAAATCATGGAGAATTACCAGCAATAGGTAAGGATTCTGCCAAGAGAAACTCAGGCACATGAAGAGGAAATCAAGAGAGAAGCAGAAGAGAAAATGAAGCACATTTTGCAAATGACGGTTTCAGTGCAAGGTGTACCATATTTAACGACTACTGTACTAATTGTTTACAATAAACATTCCTTCCTTCGTTTCGATCTTTTCGTTTCCTTTAACGGCAAGTAAAACTATATAACTTGCGTCCACAGGCTTGAAGAGATAACTGCGAAATGGATTAATCTCATACTTTCATTGTATGGATTTCTCTACGCTCGTTACCCACGACAGTGACTGAACAATTAAAATGAACGCAAGATGAAATGGTTGGGAAGTCCACTCCTTAGACCGATAAGCAACAGCTCTAACTCTTCTCCCCACCTACTGAAGCTGTCTTTTAGAATTCTCTCTCTGTGCCATCCCATTGCATTAGTATGTATGACAGCAGGCATGGCTAGTATTTCTGATACTGGTTCTTGTATTTTGGGAAAAGTTCCCAGGAGTATTTGCTAAGGAATAAGACTTCCTTTCTTGCCACGGAAGTCGTTATCTTATTTAGTCTTTGTACCCCGTTAGTTAGTCCTTTGACCAAGTTCACCTTGACTGATATAGGAGGTGGGGATTGCTTGAAGTCTAAGTACCAATCAGTATGTGAGAGCTTTTTGTTGATACTACATTCTTAGCCGCCATCTTGCCTTCGTCTAGTTTCGCAATCCAACATAACTAGTTCTGCTTTATCACTTTCTAGTTCACGTGTGAATTGGATTGCATCAACCACTTAGTTTATATAAGCGAGAAATTCTTCGGTATGTTCTGATTTCAACACTGTTAATGTATTGTTCTCAAATGTCTTCCACATACTTTAGCAACAGGGCTAAATATCCCTAAGGTGATACCTTTTCTACTATTCAATAATATGTCAGCTACAATCAGAGATGGTGCTAATCCTGTATATTTTATCCTGAAACTTGAGGATAGTAAAAATTAGGCGTAATGAAACCCTTAGAATAAGTTCTTCCATCGGTAACTTGGTTCAACAGCTAACATCACCATCATCCAATATCCATGGGTTCAGTTAAGTCGTATGTGAGTACAAATATTGAAAAATGGAATAGATGGTGGTGACGCTATGTAGCGAATTGAGTAGAGTTTAAAAATATGAACTACTGAATTCTAACCCAGTAGTTGAATGACAACGTGCTCTCTACAACACTTGACAATTCCAAGTTCGATCGCTAACAGTATCGTTGATATGCATGCTAGGAAGTCTCAAACTAGGACGAACCAACTGTCGGATGCTCACTGGTTTTCAGTGGTTATACTTAGTGGTCAGTATTGATCTAATTCTGTTGATGAAGTTTCCAATATGGATATTATATTAGATGAAGAGACACTATGGTGCACTGTATTTAGGCATTAGATGTCGGCAGTCTGTCGATAGGAAGCCTCGGATATATTTTCGCAGTTTTCCTATCATTATCCCTTCGAAAAATATTGATGATGTGTTACATTTCTAACCCAATATTTTATTTTAAGGTTGTGTTGTTGATTTACACTGCAATCAGCATGAAAGCTTTGCAATTAGACTGTTCAAGAGAGAAAACATAACACCACCAAAGTTATTCTCATAACCAACAAATATTCCTCAGGTTGGCGTACTGATGAAAACCAATAAATTATGGTAACGTACAAACACGCATACACGAGTTGTGTAATTTGTAAACAGTTTTTAGGCCCTTATCATTCAGCTATGATAAAACTATTAATGACAAATATAAGTCATTTGAAACAAGAACATATTGACATTTTTCTTGCAAGAACTTTAAATATTTGTAGTAGATTTCTAAAAGATAGGAACTGAAGTGGTAGAATGCATCGACCACTTCACTCAGTGTCACGTGGCTGTATGAAATATGAAGCGGTTACAGGTTTTTGACAACAGGTGTCTTTTTAGCATTGTTGTCGTATGGTGGAATCATCATGTGAACAATGTTGGGGTTAGGTAAAGGATACTCATCGAGACAGGCAAGTCGATAGATCAAGTTGTGAACCTTCATCGATAGAGGTGGCTTGGACATGGGCTGCACATGCCGAGCCACCGCCTGCCTAGAAATGCAATGCCAGGAGATGTTGGATTATGTTAGAAGACGGTTCAGGGTAAACATTATTCAAAGTATTGATTTATCTCAATGAACCATGATAAAAACATACTGAATACTATAAATAATACTTCTTACTTGTAACTGAATTTTTATTTAAAGTAATATCTACCTATGTGATTGAAATCCTAAACATAATCACTGTTTAGAGGTAGTATTTGTCAGTTAGGGAACTATTGAGAACCTAGGAGCACTAGACAGCTGTTTCGTCCTAGTATGGGACTCCTTAGCAGTACGCACCTATGAACCGGCTAGGGATTGAACTCAGGACATTCAGGTTTCACGGCGAACGCGTTAACCATTCAGCCACTGGATCGGTTTTTTAGTGGTTCATGTTTCCTAATTCTATCGCCATCCATCTCAAAAACACTTGACAACTTGGTAGGACTGTGATGTAGTACATAAGTTCCCGATATCAGTGGACGACGGTAATTTTAGTGAAGCTGTCCAACTGAAGGTATACTGTTAAGCATTCATGCTACCTGTTCAAGTACTGTCGTATATTGCGTTGTTGACGAACGTTTTCCCACTGGTCGGTATATTTTACACACCTCACTTGATTTCCGTGAACTTCCGCATAAACTTTCTTGGCTGCAGGATTAATTTACTTCGTATTCATGAGTGTTGGTCAGTTACGACCACCAATAGTATCGACACGAGTAAACCAATGGAGTAATCAGTATCTATGTCTGATTGTATTTTACTTTCCATTCCCTGTAAGTTTCTTGATTAGGGAGTTGTGATTGCATTATTTATTCCAACTGGAGTAATATGTAGTGGGACTTTGAAGAGAAAACTGATGCCATCACTCCACAAATAGATTTGTACTCAAGTCTCTGTTCATCCTTACTTTGAGAACTATATTTTGTGGTAAATTCCTACTATACTCATCACCAGTGCGTGTTACTGAAGCCCTATGTTCCACTAGGAACCCAAGTGAAAAATAATAATAATAAGAGGCCGACAGTGATGAAAAATAGATTTACGTTTCACCTTAACTAAGACTCATAGGCAGGGTGTATTTGTACCATGGCGAGTAACTATGTTCCCACTGAGATAGGGTAGAGGTACATCCAGCCAACGGGTACTAACGTGACTTGAATTCTCCTACCAGAAGCTGATAAGCAGATTATAACATACAGTGAAGTATACTTCATACACGCCTAACTTTACTGAACTGCAAGCCTAAATCCTCGATTACATAACACATTTTTAAATATGATTGGAAAGACTATCAAATATACCCACTAAGATAGAACAAGTGAACTAAAACTTTAAAGAAATATCTACATGACGATGAAGCTTTCATGATCGAAAATCGTTCACGTCTTCTTACTATTGTTCTGATTTTATATTTTATAGCGAAGTGAAGAAAGGTGGTGGTAAATTTGAAATAAAAACGTGAACCCCAGCATTACTTTTTTCCATTTCAAGCTTACTTTTTATAAATGGGTCAC